CTGCGAGCGTGGCTACAGACGGAGTTCACTCCGTCACGGAGGGGTAGGGTTGAGGGAATGGTTTGGGATTGGGCCTTTCACTCCGCTGGGAAACTGCTAAACTGCTCTCATGTCAAGAAGCATCAGATCAGTGCATGCACTGCATCGTCCAATCAGTGAGCGATACACAGTAAGGGGGCGGGGCGAGTGTCTGAGGATTTCATCGTTGGTTGGTCTGGTGGTTCCTCCATTATAGCTCCTCCATTATAGCTCCTCGAGCCTCGGTCCTCCGGCAGAAATAAGCGCCTTGGGACCGTACTCAAGATGGCGCAGACAAATCAACTTCCGGTGAGACCGAGGAGCGAGGAAATGAAAACAACCGACCTGAGACGCAGCCTGAGACGCACTGATGCTGTCAGAGAGGAACTACTGGGAATCTGAAAGTGGTCACAAGTCTGGTCTCACTTTTTAAGAACTGGAGGTAGGCAGCGCTCCCTGGAATATTTACAAAAATCAAAGCTGGCATCGTGTCTCACATTTGCTTCCACCAATAAACTCTACGGTTATAAGCGGGTTTGGTGGGGGAAAGGAAGTAGGAAGGGGTTTTATTTTGTGTGCTGTGTAAAATGTTTTGACAAATAAGAACGGTAAAAGACAGACTGAGTAGATTACCGAATGAAGGTGCTGTTGGGTACTGGCATTGAATTGCAGTTACCTGTAGCAGTTTCTTCATACTGTATGTGAAGGGTCCCAACTCTGATAGTAACTTAAAACAACAACATTATAAGCTTTAAGTTATTTCAGTAGGTGACTGACTGACTGACTGACTGATCACCTTTTCCCACATGACTTCCACAAGATGTGATTAAGGCAAAGGTTCAGAGAAACTAAACTTCCTTTGCACCTTAATTCTCGCTACCATTTACTAAATTGCTAACTAAGATTCACATTAGTTGTGAACGTGGCTACTCCTCCTGGGTCAGATAATGGTAAGGTAACTGCAATCTAGGTGGATCATGTTTGGGTGTTACCAGTCTTGATATTTGAGGGATTCAACATTTTAGCAGATCTTCAAAATTAATTTATCCGTCAGCTTTTTTCATTGCTTCAGTCAATTTTCAGGGACAAAGGTCAAAACAACTGGCGGTTCCATGTTCTCTAAGCCCTTTTTTAGAGACATTTTAATTAAAGTATTGGAATAATGGTTGGATGAATTAAGACATTTAATACTTTTTGGGCTGGTGGAACAAGTGAAAGCAATTTTGCAAAGGCCTCGTATGTTTTATAGACAAAATGATTAGTTGAGAAAATAATTGTCACATTAGTGGTTATCGAAAAGCCTTTAAAGCAGTACTTCTGACAGCATGTAACAGGTTGTATGTTGCTCTTGTTAATGATAATTCCTGTATTAAGATGTTATTAAATTCTTAATAAGTGAGGATGAAAGCATCTCATCGAGCGACCAGAGAGATGGGGTCATTTTCAGATTCCTATGAATTAATAAACTGAGAAGTAATGAGATCTATATGTCACTGCCAAGAATTCACCATGGGACTAAAACACAATCTGTGCTTGTTTGTCTCATTTTCCTTTTAATTATCTGTCTTTGCTTCTTTCTGTCTTTCATATGGTAGGGGTTCTTTTTATTTGCTGCTAGAAGTCACAGGATAGATAATACCACTCTGTTCTTCGGTCTCATTTCTACCTGAACATGTCCGTCTTTCATCAGGGCTTTCTCTGCTTTCATTTGTAAGATCAAAATGATTCAGTCACTCTTCTCTCCGTCTGTAGCTTGTTTTGGCATATAGGGATTTCTTTTGAAGTACCTTTGCATAAAACATGCTTTGATGCAGAGATGCCTGCAGGCGGAGCATTGATTCAGCATTTGTAATGTCCTCTGTTTTGGGGAAACCTTGACATTTAGAATTTTCTGCACGATATATATATATGTTTTTAAACTCCCTTATCGCTCACTCTTCTTTGAAAGACAGGTGTTCGGTGAGGGCAGCCTGATCCTCTATTACTGCCTTGACATTTTGTGATTTGGTACCATCCTTGGTATTTTCTCCAGTTCCTTGCTGCACTGTGTGATGATAAAAGTTTCAGTTTTACCCATAGATAAATGTGCCTGGAAGAAGAAAATGGGCACAGAATATACATTTATATTGATCCAAGAATTGACTTGAAGTAATAAATTGACTTTCTTCTTGCATTCACACCTAATAGTCCGCTCTCTGGTGCGCACCAGACCACAGTTTGTGACATTGTTTCATTTTTCAGAAGGTTCGGTTTGCGTTCACACCAAAACTCAAACGGACTATAAACTTTAAACACAAGTCATGTGCACGGAAATGCTGTTCAACCATTGGTCAGACATTAAGGGGGTGAAAACGCAAATCCCGGCAATTTCTACCGGAGCCTCCGCCATGGAGCATCGCCACTTTCGGCAGGTTATTCTCATGCTGCTGTCAATCTGGAGATCAACAGACACTAGCGGCCTGCGCATATGATTATATAATCAGACAACGTCCGTTAAAAAACATTATAACTAGTGTTAATTTTGGCAGCTGTTTTTGATTTAGTCTTAGTCTTTAGACGAAAATGGTTATTAGTTTTAGTCACATTTTAGTCATTCCTATCCTTCGTAGTTTTAGTCTAGTTTTAGTCGACGAAAACTCAAAACGTTTTAGTCAACTTTTAGTCGATGAAA